GTATTAAAGGCACTGGAAAAGTCAAGAAACAGGATCCTGACCGTGCCTTTTCCCCCATCCAGGTGTGAGTGGGCTCTATGCAGGAGGTACAGGATGGCATCCTCCACTCCGACACACGCCTTGTATGCAAACTGTAGTGGGTCCTGGGCATGTTGTACCTGTGGTCGGAGGAGGTTGAGGAAGAGCCGCTCTAGAGTCTTCATAAGATGTGACGTCAGTGCCACCGGTCGGAAGTCATTCAGCTCATTAGGCCGGTTCTTTTTGGGGACCGGGACGATGCAGGATGTCTTCCATAGGGCGGGCACTCTCCCCAGTCGCAGACTGAGGTTGAAGACTCGTTGTAGCGGCTCCCCAAGTTCAACAGCACACGCCTTTAGCATCCTAGGACACACCTTGTCTGGGCCTGCTGCCTTTCTGGGGCGAAGCTTCCTCAGTTGTCTCCTGACCTGATCCACTGTGACACTGGGAGATGTTTGGGAGGGGGGGGAGATGTCTTGCTGCTGAGAGAGGGATTGGAGGAGGGGGTGTCATGGTGTCAGGAAGGGGGGGAAGCGAGGGAGGTAGGAGAGTGGAGAGAGGACTCTGTAGTGAAGGTGAGGGTGAGGGTGGGGGGGTTGTGGGCTGGTCAAACCTGTTGAAGAAGTTGTTGAGTTCGTTTGCCTTCTCCACAGTCCCCCCCACTGTGCTTTTCTTGGTGTTGTGGCCTGTGATGGTTTTCACACCATTCCAGACCTCCCTCATATTGTTCCTCTCCAACTTCTGCTCCACCTTCCTCCTGTAGGTGTCCTTTGCTTCCCTCAGGCAGCGTTTCACCTCCCGCTGTGCTGCTTTCATCTCCTCCTTCACTTTGCTCCTGAAAGCCTTCTTCTTCATGTTGAGGACAGCTTTGACTTCCTGTGTTACCCACGGTTTGTTATTAGGATAACACCGTACCGTCTTAGCAGGGGCGACTGTGTCCACACAAAAGTTGAGGTAGTCTGTAAGACAGTGTGTCGCCCCTTCTATGTCCTCACAATGTGGGCTCAGGAGCACATCCCAGTCTGTGGTGTCATAGCAGTCTCTCAGAGCATCCTCCTTTTCTGGGGTCCATCTCCGGATGGAGCGCGTTGTGACAGGCTGCCTTTGGACGAGGGGTGTGTATTGTGGCTGTAGGTAAACCAGGTTGTGGTCTGACTTCCCTAGTGGGGGGAGGGGGGTGGCTCTGTATGCATCTCTCACATTAGCATACAGTAGGTCAATTGTCCTGTTGCTCCTTGTGGGACAATTCACAAACTGGTGAAAAGCAGCCAGAGTAGAGTCCAGTGTGGCATGGTTAAAGTCTCCAGATATAATAATGAAAGCCTCGGGGTTTTGTGTCTGAAGTCTTGCTGTGACTGTGTGTATTTTCTCACAGGCAGTTGTTGCGTCGGCCCTTGGAGGGAGGGCCGACGTATTATGTATGTATTAGTTTACATTTTGACTGCACAATTGTGAGCTTTTTGTTATGCACAAAAACAACATTGTTTTCTTTTATTTATGGACCATGATTATTTAATAAATGCTGATAATTTATTTTTGAGTAATTTCTTCATGTACATCTACGCTGTATGTAAATAAAAGTGCCCGGTGTGACATCTGGGACACAGTGTGACTAAGAACTCTGTTTTTGTTCTTAACTTATGGCTTTAAAAAAAAAATATCGAGATATATATCTTATATCGCCATCCAGCTAAAAACATCGAGATATGAATTTTGGGTCATATCGCCCAGCCCTAGTGGAGGTGGTCAACAAGTACAAGTACCTCGGGGTGTGGGTGGACAATAAACTGGACTGGTCATGCAACACAGAGCACCTGTATAAAAAAGCCCAAAGCCGACTGTACTTCCTCAGGAGGCTGAGGTCTTTTAACATCTGCAGGAAGCTCCTGAGGATGTTTTACCAGTCGGTGGTTGCTGGAGTACTTTTCTATGCTGTGGTGTGCTGGGGGAGCAGCACAGCAAAGAAGGACTCATCCAGGTTGGAAAAACTGATCAGGAAGGCTAGCTCTGTGGTCGGCATGAAGCTGGACACTCTGGTGACAGTGGCAGAGAAAAGGACACTAAAAAAACTGCTGGACATTATGAACAATGCTGGGCATCCTCTGCACACGGCCATAAACAACCAGAAGAGTCTGTTCAGTGACAGGTTGCTTCTCCCCAAGACAAGAACTAACAGACTTAAAAACTCCTTTGTCCCACACGCCATCAGACTGTTTAAATTCTCTCTGGAGGGGAGAGGGAGGGGAGACAGGGGGACAAAGGAGGGGGGAACAACTAAGCTGTAGTGTCTCTTCACTTCACTGTGCAATACCTTTGTTAATAGTCAACGGTGCAATAGACCTCAATACTTGAAATGTACAATTCACTTGTATTTTTATTTTTATTCCTATTTATTCTATTTATCCCCTTTGTATATTTTATTTATATTGTCTCTGTATTTATATATGTGTATATATATATATATATAATATTCTGTAACTCTGTAACTTCTGTCGGTGCTGTGCTTTTTGGAAACCGAATTTCCCAGAGGAACCCACCGGATGGATTAATAAAGTTTTATCTTATCTTATTTCTAGATCACATCAGTCTGTAGATAGTGTTTTCCTCCTCAAAAGACGAACTGCGTTTATTAGTTTCTCTCTGGTCCCCACTGATTCATACCATTATTTAATTCAATTCAATTCAATTTTATTTATATAGCGCCAAATCACAACAAAAGGCGCCTCAAGGCGCTTCATAGATACAGAGAAAAACCCAACAATCATATGACCCCCTATGAGCAAGCACTTTGGCGACAGTGGGAAGGAAAAACTCCCTTTTAACAGGAAGAAACCTCCGGCAGAACCAGGCTCAGGGAGGGGCGGGGCCATCTGCTGCAACCGGTTGGGGTGAGAGAAGGAAGACAGGATAAAGACATGCTGTGGAAGAGAGACAGAGATTAATAACAGATATGATTCAATGCAGAGAGGTCTATTAACACATAGTGAGTGAGAAAGGTGACTGGAAAGGAAAAACTCAGTGCATCATGGGAATCCCCCGGCAGCCTACGTCTATTTTCAGCATAACTAAGGGAGGATTCAGGGTCACCTGGTCCAGCCCTAACTAAATGCTTTAGCAAAAAGAAAAGTTTTAAGCCTAATCTTAAAAGTAGAGATAGTGTCTGTCTCCCGAATCCAAACTGGAAGCTGGTTCCACAGAAGAGGGGCCTGAAAACTGAAGGCTCTCCCTCCCATTCTACTTTTAAATACTCTAGGAACAACATGTAGGGGTGGTCTCATTTGCCTGGGTTCCTTAATAGTGAATGAAGGCATTCTCTGAAACTTATAGGTCTGGCGGCTTCCTGGGCCCTAAAGAGCTGTGGTTGTAGTTTTGGAGGGTCTGGGTTTCTGCCTCAGTTCGTGGTGGTGGGGGACTGGGGTGGGTGCTGCCTAGCGATCTTGGTGTGTGGGGCCTGAAGTGCTTGTGGTCATGGGTCCTTTTCTCCTTTTCTTTTCTCTAGTTGGGTGGCTGACCTCTTCTAGGTAGGTTTGGGTGTGGGGCATCGGGCCCTGGCGCCCTGGTCGCCTGTTCTCTAGCTTGGTATCTTTTTGTGCTCGGTTAGTCTGCACCCCTTTTGGCTGCCTCACTGTGTAGGGTGGTTGTGCCATGCTAGGATTTCAGGCCTGTACCTTGGGGACTTATGGGTGCCTGCAGGCCCATTGTGTGGGATGGGATGGGGTGTCCATGTGAGGGAGTAACCAGTGCTGAGTGCAGCTTGTCCCAGACCCAGACTAGTGTGTCTTGTTCCTTTCTGGTGTTGTGACACAGTCACAGCCCTAAGACGCGGGACTCATCTACACACTATAGTCTACTCTCTGTGGTGGGAGGAGTTATTTCCTGGCTCTCCATGTTTAGCTGTTTTTTGTAAAAAGAAATAGTTAACAAACAATGTTAGCCTTTTCTGCAGCTATAGGGCATATATGGTATCAATCTTTGATGGACGCAGTGCTTAAACAATGGAAAAAACACTAACTTTGTCGAAAAATGTCTCATGTTTAGCTGTTTTCCACTTTTTCTTTGGTCATTTTAGGCTTTTGGACCAGGGTGAAGGGAGCATCTGCCATCAAACAAGAAGACAGCTGCATGTAACTACGACGGTGTTTGCTAGTTCACCTTACATGCATTAATTTAATAACGTGGTTAGCCTACTCAACGTAAATTACACACAAACAACATTAAGCTACTCGCCCAGAGAAGAACGGCTGCTGCTGCCATCATCATCCATCATCATTTCTGCTACACTGGCAGGGCTAGGGGCCAGGACTCTCCTCTTCGGGTTCTTAGGAGATGTTGCTAACTCTGGGTCCGATAACAGGCACCACACCCGCAGTAGATGTGCACGGTGTGAGGTCTCGCAGCAAGCTATCAAATACCGTGCATTTCTCGGCTTTAAAAAAAAAAGCACTATACATCACCAGGTTCGTCATCAGATTCAAGGTGTTACCTCCTTTGCACAGTATCACCTTAAAGCACTTGTTGCAGGCTGCTGAGTTTGCATTTTTTGCTGTGAAGTACAGCCAGACTTTTGACCGCTTCACCTTGGGCATTTTTACTTGTTGGTTCCAGGGCCGGTGGTTGGACATTGTGGTGTGGTAGTTCACCGGCTTCCTTGGTGGCCAGGGGTGGCTTTGAGCTCTTCCATGTCAGGAGGTAACTGTCTTGTGTACTGGGCAGTTCTTCAGCACATGGAGCACTGGGACCCTGGTCTCGGCTCTCACCTATAGTGGGATCTGCTGCTCATCGACTGGCCCTCTGGGGCTGTCACTCTTTGGCCATAGGTGCCCATCTAGGGCCTCTTCCCTTTTTCCTTCTTGCCCTGCCGTAGACAGGATCATACTCTATACAACATATATTGTAATAACCAAAATAGCATGCATAGACGATATACTGTTATCACTACGTGTTGGATACACTGTGTATGTTAACGCAGGTCAACAGCAAGCCAAACTCAATTTTCATGAGCCAGGAAACTGAGCGTCTTGCTCCTTTATTACAGTCTTCTCGACGGCTTACAACTTTTACAACTGTGGGTTGAATAGCTCGATGAAAGTTCTGAGTGAAACTAAAAAATAAACCAGAAAATAAAATATCCTTTAGCTCTTTAACATTGTGAAATAAATGCAGAAAAGAAATAGTTAGTAATAGAAAACATGTATCAAAGTTAGTCTTAGCTGCTAAGTAATAATAAACAGTAGTTTTAACAATCCTCTGATATGCATATTCGATTGCTAGCATCATTGCTATGTTAATAGACCATGCTCTAAGCAAAAACCGATTCTGGGATAAGGCTAATTTCTGGTACAAACACATTCACACAACGATCTCTAAATCAGCATATAAAACATATAAAACAAACCAGAACATGTAATAAACTTACAGCCATTGCTTTTGATGATGTATATAAAGATTCAGGCCACAGGAGATGAAATTTAAACACAGATAGGCAGGTTTTCTGTACAATGCTTTTTTCCCAACTGACTGCAGCTCCTGCTTTCCACAATGCATTGCGATCACAGATTACTCCTTCAAAATAAGATACAGAAAAACTAATGCTGACTGTATAGAATATATTTTTAACTAAATGACTCTCTTTTTTAACATAAATTACCACAGTTGAAATATTACATTTTTATCACTATATTATTATGAACCATTTTTAATCTTTTACTTGGGACAGAGAAGACAAAATAAACAGTTAAACCTTAAACAAGGGGAGCCCATAGAGAATATACAGAGCTGATTTGGAAAAGCAAAATGTGTTTGGCACAACAGTGCATTCATATCATAATTCTGATTGCAAAGGCTGCCAGACAGAACTGGATTTTTAAAAAGAAAAAAAGGAAAAACTGAAATATCATCATCCTCAACTCTGCTCCACTGACACTGACACCTTCAACGGCAACACTTTCACTTCATCATCAGTGCTAATGAATGGGAACATCCTGTCAGTGAAAGTGTGTGTGAAGGTGTGTATGTGTGTGTTAGTATCAAGATCAGAGAACGACAGCTTTCCTCTGTTCCAGTCCAGATTCACTCTGATCCTCTGGATCATCTGTGCTGCGAGAGCAGTGGATCCTGCTAATGGAGACCATGCTGAGTATTTATCTTCCTCAAACCATATTATCCATAATCCAGACAGTATGCTTCCCTTCCTCTGCACAGACTCTGCTAGAACACCCAGTCCCCACCATGTACTGTCTCCAACTTCAATATCCCAGCTGTGACTCCCTGAGTTAAAGCCCTCAGAGCCCAGGACAGAGCTGTAATAATCAAATCTCTCTGGATTATCAGGAAGCTGCTGCCTCTCTCCTCGTCGTCTCACACTGGTCAAATCTTCAGACAGGATGAGTTTTGGATGAGCAGTGTTTGGGTCCAGAATGAGAGGAGTGTAGGAGACCATGTCCTTCATGTTGTTCCAGATGTTGAAGGTCAGGTTGCCCAGGTGTTTGGCCTGGTCTATCAGAGCTCCTGAGGGCAGCTGTGGATCATCCAGCAGGGGGCAGCGCTGGACTCTTTCCACTGCAGCCTTGTAGTTGTGCAGGAATGAGACGTCTTCAGCTCTCAGCTCCTCCTCTGTGGCTCTGACTGTGTCTGAAAGAGCTGCTATCTCTCTGCTCAGAGCCTCCATCTTCTCCTTCATCATCCCACTCTTCTGCTCCTCTTCCTCCCTCAGTGCAGCCAGCCTGGCCTCCTCTTCCTCTGCTAGAAACTGGTGAAGCTTCTTAAACTGCTCCTTAATCTGCCTCTCTGTGTGTCGGGCCTGGACCTTAATGTGTTCTGCTGTTTGATCAAACTTCACTTGAACTCGTTTGCAAACATTTAACTTCTTCTTTAAGGGCTCCAGAGTTTCCTGAAGTTCCTTCTTGTGTTGTTGTGCAGCTTCATCGATGGGTCTGAATCTGTGATTGGTGTGTTTTTCTGTTTCTCTGCAGATGTGACACACTGGCACTATGCTCTGCTCTCTGAAGACCTCCTGACAGACCGGACAGCAGAGATCCTCCTCTGATCTGGAAGCCATTGAGTCTGCGAGTGAAGCTGAAAACAGCAGACAGGAAGTACAGTCAGTCCTGGCTCCCCTCCCTCCTCTACCACCTTCACTGAAACTTCCTTTGAGTCGTGTTTTTGCTCAAACTCACATTCAGTGTGTGGAGCGTCAGCAGCTTGAAGCAGCAGTGTTGGAGTTTTCCACTTTTCTCTCCTGTAGCTGGACTCACTCAGAGGAAGCTGCTAGTTTGGACCAAATGTGAGTGTGATTCCAGTGTTGTTGTTACAGCCCTTACAACTCAGAGTGTGTTTTATTCCAAAGTTCAGACTGCCAGAAGCTACAAAAGTTATTGATTAACAGCGTTTATCTCATTTCACTTGCACAGGTCAGTGCATGAAATCAGCTGTTTGAGAACGTTTAGCATCAATGTGCTGCAGGAGCATGAAAACATGATGTTGCTTTTTTCTGCTTTGGTGGATAATTTACAGTATAGAGGCATGAACAAAGTACATTATATAATTCATTGTATGAATAGCCTCTTTGGGCAGCTTTGATAGTGTTGTTTTTGTTGCAAAGTAAGCAAAGCATTTCATCGTGAATCACGTGCAATTAAAACAGAAGAATACCTCGATAAAAACTCAGTCATTCAGTTCAGAAAATTACAAAAAGGTTGGATCTGTTCATCTGGACGTAGCATTTTTAGTCAGAGAAATGTTTCGTCACTCATCCAAGTGACTTCTTCAGTATCAACTGACTGGAGGTTTCCCTAAATCTTATAAACAGTACATTTGCACAATAACTAAAACCCACCCACAGACTAACAATAGGCTGTAACCTCAGCTTTGTGATCATTAATATTCAAATTGTCACAGCCATCAATCAAAAACGATCAATCAGTGGTCTTTGATCAAGACTTTTGGGGTTTTATTTACCTGGGTGATTGAGCATGCTTTAAGAAAAGTTATGAAAATAATTTGTTAAATATGTTTTTTACAGTAAAAAAAACCCCTTTTCTACTCAGATGTTAGTTGTTGTAATAGTTTTATTACAACATTTTGCCACATTGCCTTTTTCATAACTTGGCCTACTCTTTTTAGTTTTATCAATATTGGCAATAGTGAGAGGTGTTATTGTTGGGTTCGAATATATTTGATATAGGTCATCGAATTAATGCAAATTTCATGTTTTTAGCTGTTATAATCTGATGAGCAATATTTTATTTTATTTTTTTGTTGTTTCATTTTTCAATTTTTCCCCCCTGGACATGATTCAGCCAATACCGAGAGAGGAAATCTGTGCAGCACAGCGGCAAGACCCCGTGATAGGTATAATGTATGAGTCTGTAGTGCAAAACAAAAGGCCCACCACACAGGAAATTAAAACTGAGAGCACTGAGTTTAAAGCATTAGCTAGAGAGTGGAGCAAACTAAAAATCAGAGAGGATGGAACTATGTTCAGAGAGACTCGACACAAAAAACAACTAGTTCTCCCCTCAGCTTACCACCCGCTAGTGCTCAATGAACTACACCAACAAATGGGTCACTTGGGATCAGAAAGGACCCTTTCTTTTGGCCTAAGATGCAAAGAGACATTGAACACTTTGTCAGTAATGTTTGTGAGTGTCTCAAACAGAGGAAGCCAAACAGGCAGGCACGGGCACCTATGTTGAGCATAGAGACCACTCATCCATTTCAGTTGGTTTCAGTTGACTTTTTGCACCTGGAGCAATGCAAGGGGTGTGTGAATACATACTTGTAGTTATGGACCACTACACCCGCTTCGCTCAGGCCTATGCAACTACAAATAAGTCAGCTAAGACTGTAGCAGAAAAACTATTCAATGATTATTGTCTCAGGTTTGGTTTTCCAGAAAAACTACACCACGATTTGGGGCGAGAGTTTGAGAATAGACTATTGAACCATTTAAAAGAACTGGCTGGTGTTAAAGGGTCACACACTACTCCTTATCACCCACAAGGAAATGGGCAGACCGAAAGATTCAACAGGACCCTGCTCTCAATGTTAAGAACACTAACAGAGGAACAGAAAAGAGACTGGAAAAGCCACCTCCGTAAAGTTGTACATGCCTACAATTGTACTGTTAATGAGGCCACTGGCTACCCCCCTTTTCTCCTAATGTTTGGTAGGTCACCACGGTTACCGGTTGACCTTCTCTTTGGTATTGAGCAGGAGGACAGTTCAGGCTCCTACCAGGACTATGTGGACAGATGGAGAAGGAGAATGGCTGAAGCTTGCACTGTCGCCTCCAAAAATGCAGCTAAGTCGGCTGGCCGAGGTAAAAGGTAAATTCCTATAATTTATAATCCTTATCTTTATAATCTCTTCTGCTATTTGCACATTCTTTACTGTAAATTCCTAAGTTATTTGTAAATTTTGTAGTAAATTGTAATATTGTAAACTTTTTCTGTCATTTAATGTCGGCATGTACAGCTACAAGCATTCACCCCATGTCATACGTGTATGGTTGTGTGTGTGACAAATAAAATTTGAATTTGAATTTGAATTTGAAAAGGCAGTACAACAAAAGTGTGCATGGTCCACCACTTCAAATAGGGAGTCGTGTCCTTGTTATGTTATGGAGAGGGGTGGGCCAGGTAAAATCCGCTCCTATTGGGAAGACAACATCTACATCATTAAAAGACAAAAGGGGGAGGACAGTCCTGTGTTTGAGTTAGAGCCAGAGAATGGTAAAGGCAGGACAAGGATTTTGCACAGGAATATGTTGTTGCCTTGCGATTTTCTTCCGCTCCCAGCAGATAAGGAGGCAACTGTAACTAGTACTAGAACAAGGAAAAGACATTATAACAAACGGAAACAAACATGCATACAAGTGGGGAATGAGGAGGAGGAGGAGGAGGACACAGATGAGTTTTCTGATGCGGTTTTCACCTGGCCTTATCCTGAGCCTCAGTGTTCACCCACATTGGACCCCACAGCGGCAGAGTTTATGCCACTAAGGGACGGGGGTGAGCCAGATGAGTTTCCTCACATGTCAGGAGATGGCCAGGGGGACCCCAGCCAAACTGATGAGGAGAAGATGGACAATATGGACCCAGAGGATGTGGCATTTGTGGGTGCAGGGGAGGTGGACAGCAGCTCTGATGTCAAAGAGGCTTTGGAAACAGACCAGCCAAGTCCATACCCAAAGAGAGAAAGGAGGAGACCACAGACTTTGACCTATAGTAAACTTGGACAACCAAGTCTTGAAGAAAGAATAGTGGCCACTAAATGTGTGAATGTTCAGGGTTACTGGCAACCTTGGTAAAAGAGGAAGATATAATATTTACACTTTGTACCCCTATTTCAGATGGTAACAAATGTACCTATGTTGATTGAGATATCGTGACACATGGATTGCAGGCCGAACATGTGTATGAGTAAAGGGAAGATGCTCAGTGTTCAGATGAGATGTGGACAAAGTTAACGCCCTTACAGTACAAATAGCATGGTAATTTGATAGACTGAATGTTGGACTAAAAAAAAAAACCTAAACTGATATAAAAGGAGTACAGGGAGTGCAGAATTATTAGGCAAGTTGTATTTTTGAGGAATTATTGTTGAATTATTATTGAACAACAACCATGTTCTCAATGAACCCAAAAAACTCATTAATATCAAAGCTGGATGTTTTTGGAAGTAGTTTTTAGTTTGTTTTTAGTTTTAGCTATTTTAGGGGGATATCTGTGTGTGCAGGTGACTATTACTGTGCATAATTATTAGGCAACTTAACAAAAAACAAATATATACCCATTTCAATTATTTATTTTTACCAGTGAAACCAATATAACATCTCCACATTCACAAATATACATTTCTGACATTCAAAAACAAAACAAAAACAAATCAGCGACCAATATAGCCACCTTTCTTTGCAAGGACACTCAAAAGCCTGCCATCCATGGATTCTGTCAGTGTTTTGATCTGTTCACCATCAACATTGCGTGCAGCAGCAACCACAGCCTCCCAGACACTGTTCAGAGAGGTGTACTGTTTTCCCTCCTTGTAAATCTCACATTTGATGATGGACCACAGGTTCTCAATGGGGTTCAGATCAGGTGAACAAGGAGGCCATGTCATTAGTTTTTCTTCTTTTATACCCTTTCTTGCCAGCCACGCTGTGGAGTACTTGGACGCGTGTGATGGAGCATTGTCCTGCATGAAAATCATGTTTTTCTTGAAGGATGCAGACTTCTTCCTGTACCACTGCTTGAACAAGGTGTCTTCCAGAAACTGGCAGTAGGACTGGGAGTTGAGCTTGACTCCATCCTCAACCCGAAAAGGCCCCACAAGCTCATCTTTGATGATACCAGCCCAAACCAGTACTCCACCTCCACCTTGCTGGCGTCTGAGTCGGACTGGAGCTCTCTGCCCTTTACCAATCCAGCCACGGGCCCATCCATCTGGCCCATCAAGACTCACTCTCATTTCATCAGTCCATAAAACCTTAGAAAAACCAGTCTTGAGATATTTCTTGGCCCAGTCTTGACGTTTCAGCTTGTGTGTC